GTTCCTAAAGGTAAAACTTGAATTTGCGGTGAGCAGAGCACTCTGTTGAGTCCACGTGAATGAACTGATGTGTGGGCATCCCCTGCTGTAGCCTCCCGCCATGGCACAGCTCCTCAGACTCTCTCCAGCATGCATTGTTTGAGCACTGTTGGCCTCCCGTTTCCTTCATTCGCTACTTGGGTTGCGTGCACCCTTTGTTTCTGTGAAAAAATGGCTCCTAAAAAGCAACGAAGTGGTCGAAACAATCCCTCAAAGGCTAAGAGGGAATGTAAAGTGCCTTCTCTCTATGAGAAAATAAAAACTTAGATCTTCTGAAAAGTGGCATGTCGCTTGCTGGAGTGGGTCATAAGGTTGGTAAGAACAAGATGGAACATTCGCACGGTAATGCAGAAAGAAGCTGAAATTCCTGGAAGTGTTAGCACTGCCCCTACAATGGCAAAAATGGTCTCTGTGGTTCCTGAGAAAGTGCTTGCAGGGTCTGAGAAAGCATGAAGTGTGTGGCCAGAGGACATGTCACAAAAGCATATCCCTATTAATGGCAAAACTATGCATGAAAAAGCACTTGGCCTCCATGAGCACGACTGTGAGGAGGCTGAGGAGAGCGAGAGGAAGGAGCTTCAGGCTGGCAAGGGCTGGCTGGCTAGCTCTGGAAAGCCTGCAGCCTCCAGAACTTCAAGATCACGGGAGGATCGAACTCGGCTGGTGCCCAGGCGGCATCAGCGTTCCCAGAAGCGCTCCAGAAACGCATAGCAGAGGAAGACCACCTCCCACAGCAAGTACTTCAATTGTGAGGAAACAACTATTTACATAGCATTTACCTTGTTATTAGGTATAAGTAATCTAGAGATGATTTAAAGTATATGGGAGGATGTGTGTAGGTTATATGCAAATACTATGCTGTTTTATATAAGGGACTTGAGCATTCTCTGATTTTGGTATCCACAGGGTTGGGGGGAGGGGGATCCTGGAACCAATCCCCTGTGGATACTGAAGGACGACTATAAACTATCAACTCTGGTGATAAAAAAAATAATAGGTCTCAAAGCATCACAAATAATAACCAGTTTCTGGTCACTGGACCACATGTGTAAACGTCAGAAAGACCAAGCACTTTTGCTGTTCCCTCTCTTGTGTTCCCACCCTGGCTAGGGATCAGTCCGGCTTGGGAGTCTCCAACATGGCCTCCTTCCCTAGGCTGTTGAAGTCCTCCTCAGATTTCACTGCTAATCCTGGAATGTGAGGCAGGAACTATCAAGGCAACCAGGTAAGGGATGGGTATGCTCTCACAGTCAGGAGTAAGGGGTCTGACAGGAGAGAGACACTAATGCCCCCTACTCCCTACCCCAACACACACACACTCTAGCTTCGCCACAACCTCCTGAACTGCACGCCAGAGCCAGAGCACAGGGCAACAGACCAGAGCCAGGGACAGCAGGAGGGCCTCTGAAGCCTCTTCAGTGGACCACGAGGAGCCTGAGTACCCCTCAGGGGAATGGGCCGCATCACAAAGCCGTGGAGGAGGGCGGGCCCCATCTTCCCCACTGCCTGCGAAGACTTCTCTACACCAAGAAAGAACAAGGCCAAGTGGAGACAAACAGATGAAAAGCGAGGACAAGCTCCAGTCCCTGGGGTCCAGCGTTCTGCAGATGCTCCTTCTAGGCAGTGAGCTCCCTCGGACTTTCCCCAGGGCCTCTATCAAATGCCTCCCTTATTCCTCCGATTAGTTTGAACTGTTGGTTTCTGGTTTCAGAGCCCATGCTGGTAACCACTAGGCTATGCTACACCACTGCCAGCACTGAGAACCTTTAAAGGGCCTACGCCCCTGAGTCCAGGACTCTCACTTTTAGGGATCCATGCTGCAGAAATAATCAAAGAGTCCAAGATTTCATCACAGTTGTACAAATAGTAATTTTATGAATTGTTGTTAAGTTTCACGAGGACAGGGATTTTTGCCTGTTTTGTTCATAGCTATATTCCCAGGACCCAAAACAGTGCCTGGCTCAATAAACATCTGTTGACTCAATTAATAAACCCAAATGTTGAGCTTTGAGAGAATGGTTAAATAAACTACATTCATGTAATAGAACACTAACCTGTTGCTGTTGAGTAGATTTTGACTGTTACAGAGCAGAACTACTCCACAGGGTTTTCTTTGCTGTAATCTTTATGGAAGCAGATTGCCAGGCCTTTCTTCCACCTTTATTCCACAGCACCACTGGGTGAGTTCTAACTGCCAACCTTTAGGTTAGCAGTCCAGTGCAGACCGTTTGCACCACCTAGGGACCTAACCCCACAAACCTGTGGCCTTCGAGTGGATTCTGACTCATATAGACCTAAGCAGTCATTAAAAATCTTGCTTTCAGTGACTCTTCTGTGACATTGCGATGTTTATGATAGCAGAAAAATTAAAAACTATATGTATATACTTCCAGTGATGGGAAGAGTATACACGCACAGAAAATAAGACTGGAAGGAAATACACCAAATATGTTTACAGAGGTATGAAGATGTGATTATGGGTGATTTTAACTTTACTTGTACTTCTTTTGTATTATCCAAATTTTCTTCAATAAGCACATATTACTTTAATCAGAAAAAAGTTATAGAGAAATGTTAGTTTACTTAACAGTAAACATTTGGTCTTTTTTTGTGTTTGCTGTGCTTTAAGTGAAAGTTTACAATTCAAGTTAGTCTCTCATACACGAATTTATAGTTATGTGACCCTAGTTGCTCTCCCTATACTGTGACAGCACACTCCTCCTTTCCACCCTGGATTTCCCATGTCCACTCAACCAGCTCCTGACCCTCTCTGCCTTCTCATCTCACCTCCGGACAGGAGCTGCCCATTTAGTCTCATGTATCTACTTGAGCTAAGAAGCACACCCTTCAAGAGTATCATTTTACGTCCTATAGTCCAGTCCAATCTTTGAAGAGTTGGCCTCAGGAATGGTTTTAGTTTTGGGCTAACAGAGAGCCTGGGGGCCGTATCTTCTGGGGTCCCTCCAGTCTCAATCAAACCATTGTCTGGTCTTTTTACTAGAATTTGAGTTCTGCACTCCACTTTTCTCCTGCTCCATCAGGGACTCTCTGTTGTGTTCCCTGTCAGTGTGATCATTGGTGGTAGCCGGGCACCATCTAGTTCTTTTGGTTTCAGGATGATGAAGTCTCTGGTTTATGTGGCCCTTTCTGTCTCTTGGGCTAATACTTGCCTTGTGACTTTTGTGTTATTCATTTTCCTTTGCTCCAGGTGGGTTGGGACCAAGTGATGCATCTTAGATGGCCGCTCGCTAGCTTTTAAGACCCCAGATGCCACTCACCAAAGTGGGATGCAGAAGATTTTCTTAATAAACTTTGTTATGCCAATTGACCTAGATGTGACCTGAAAGCATGGTCCCCAGACCCCTGCCTCTGCTACTCTGTCCCTCGAAGTGTTTGGTTGTATTCAGGAAACTTCTTAGCTTTGGTTTAGTCCAGTTGTGCTGACTTCGCCTGTAATGTGTGTTGTCCCTCCCTTCACCTAAGATAATTCTCTTCTACTATCTAGTTAGTGAATACCCCTCTCCCTCCCTCCCCACCCTCATAACCATCAAAGAATGTTTCCTTCTGTGTTTAAACCTTTTCTTGAGTTCTTATAATAGTGGTCTCATACAATATTTGTCCTTTTGTGATTGACTAAATTCACTCAGCATAATGCTTTCCAGATTCCTCCATGTGATCTTCATTTTTAAGGGAACAGAAGCTAAGGGTCTGGGGACTTGCTCAGAAGTTTGATTCTTGGAACATCACCTAACTGAAAATCCCAGAAAATGGCCCCCTGCCTGAGGGCAGGGGTGTGGATTATACCATAAGGGCCCTGGAAAAGCTGGTAGAGACGGTGGAAAGCTAGTGGTCTCTTTTGCCATGTGGCCCCTAATATGTACTTACTACTGATGAAAAAGGACACATTCTATTTGTGGAGCTTTCAAAAGCAAGTGGCTGTAGGGGAGGAGGTGGAGTTGTAGACTTGTTTATATTTCAGCCAGGCCCTAAAACCCGTTGCCACCAAGTCGATTCCGACTCATAGCGACCCTATAGGACAGAATAGAACTGCCTCACAGGATTTCCAAGGAGCAGCTGGTGGATTTCGAACTGCCGACCTTTTGGTTAGCAGCCGTAAATCTTAACCACAGCGCCAGCAGGAACCCAAGCCAGGCCCTAGGGAACGGATACCTTCCTAAACGGAGGAACTGAAGTACTTGCAATCTAGTTAATTGAAATTCGCATGAACCATGCAAGTTCAAGTGAACACACCGTGGATGCTCCGCTGCCTCGCCGAGTGGGCGGTGAGGGAGCGGGCGGAGGCGGGGCGCCTCCCGGCTCCATCCCCGCTCATCCCGGGGCGCTCGCTCCGAGACGCGGGGCTTGGAGTCCATAGTTCTTCATGATCCTCTGCCGACCTCCAATAAGGAGGTCATTTGGAGAAGTCCTCTAGGCGATAAAGATCGGCTGACGGCCAGCAACAGAAATGACATGTGCCCTGCGCTCTAGGCGGCAACCTCAGCTCTCCGCTGGAAGCCACCTGGACCGTCGTCCCGGCTTCCGGGGTTTTACGCGAGATTCCACACGCACACCTCTGCGGAGGCGGGCACACGGCCTCGGCCCGGCCGCTGATTGGCCCACTTCGAGCTCCCGGCTGCGGATTGGCCGTCCGGGCAGGCGGGCCAAGTGATGAGGCCCTATGCCGCCGTCCGTAGCCTGTGCGTCAGGGAGAGAGCAGGAAAGGGTCGCGAGATTTTCCGCAGGTTGCGTCAGAGCCCTCCGGGGAGTCTCTTGTTCGCGCCACGGGGCAGGCGGAGCGCAGCCCCGCCCCAACCCAGAAAAGTGCGGGAGTTCGCCGGTCCGGCTTCCTCGGCCGCACTGCCTGCTGGGTCCGTGCACTCTCCCCGTTTCCCCTGGTAGTACCCCCCGGTCCGCGCTGCGCGGGTTCCTGCGGCTGCCCAGGATACGCGGCGCCCGGGACCATGAGCGTGGGCTTCATCGGCGCCGGCCAGCTGGCCTGTGCGCTGGCGCGCGGCTTCACGGCCGCAGGTAAGGGAACGGCGGCCCCTAAGCCTAGTGTGTGAACAGGCTTCACCCCGTGAGGATGAATGAATGAGGAATTTACATTCGGTAGGGTAGACGATACTCTTGTTAAGGCAGCAAAAGTTAGTCTTATGTCCGCGGAAAGGACTTGGGGGGGAGGGAGGCTGACACTGTTAGAGAGGTTGTGGGTTTTGATTCTGTTTTCCCGGGGGAAGGATGGGAAAAGCTAGTTGAAAAGCTCCGTCTTCTGCAGGTGTCTTGTCCGCTCACAAGATAATAGCCAGCTCCCCGGAAATGTATCTGCCCACGGTGTCTGCGCTCAGGGTAGGTGGGGTTGGAGGTGGGCAGGGAAGAGTGTGGGGGCCCAGGAGGAGGATGGACTGATGTGCTGAGTCTGGCTGGCGTCCTCAGCCCGTGCTGGCCATTGACCAGCTGACCTCCCCATCAGGAGCATCACAGATCCGCTACCTTCCCTGGGGCAGCTCAGAGTGTGGGAGTACTCTGGGTTCAAGTTCAGACAGTGAGACGATTAAAGGAGGTAATTGTGTATGGAAACTGCCTACAAGAGCACTAATAAAAACCAGTTGCCATCAGTTTGACTCCAACTCACTGGGTGACCCCACGTGTCAGAGTAGAACTGTGCTCTGTGGGGTTTTCAGTTGCCAGGCCTGTCTTCTGAGGCACCTCTTGGTGGATTTGCACCTCTAACCTTTTGGTTAGCAGCTGAGTGCATTAACTGTTTGTACCACCCCGGGACTCCTGGTACATAGTAGGTGCTCATTTTTTTCCATTGACCAGCTCTTTGACCTGAGAGTCCTCAGCCCCTCTGAGGCCCAGTGTCCTCGTTTATAAAATAAAGACAATAGCTACCTTGCTGAGTTGTTGTGAGGTGTGAATGAGCACGCTGGGAAAGAACATGGCTAGTTGGTTGCTCTTCTCTCTGAAAACAATGTCATATCTTCCTCCCAAACCTGGGCAGTGTGGGAGAGGATGGCCAATGAGGTAGAAGACAGGCAAAGGCCATGTCTAGGGTGGGCTGAGGTTCCTAGCCCTGCAGGTCCCTGCTTCAGGTTTGGAGTCCTAGAAGGGTGGGTGTCCTCCAGCGGTCCAGCCCGGGGTCCGCACGGAGGCTGTGTGGTCTGATGAACAAGTTGTTGGCATTGGGAAAGGACTCAGCTCTTCTGACAGCCCCTGGCACTAGCATTTCACTTTCACTTTGCCCGTGCCACTTTCCAACTATGGAGTCCTTCTTACTTGACAGAGGGTTCGATGGGGGTCAGAGGACAGCTACTTCCTGGTTACCGTGAAGAAGCTTGTCGTGGCCAGCTCCTTGCTCATTTGCCCGGTAGTAGCAGTGGAAAACTGCCAACTGGGGTAGGGGCCGAACCTTAAGCGGGCAAGGGAAGGAATTGCAGGCTGCAGCTGGCAGAGTGGGCTTGGCAGGCCTCAGCTGCTCCTTGGGTGGGCTGGGCACACTCAGCTGCCCAGCACTGTGAGCCCTGCCATCTCCTCCTGCAGAAGATGGGCGTGCACCTGACCCACAGCAACAAGGAGACGGTGCGGCACAGCGACGTCCTGTTCCTGGCCGTGAAGCCGCACATCATCCCCTTCATCCTGGATGAGATCGGGGCTGACGTCAAGGCCAGGCACATCGTGGTCTCCTGCGCGGCCGGTGTCACCATCAGCTCCGTGGAGAAGGTGCCCATCTCAGCCTTGTGTGAGAGGAGGTGGCCTGGGTGGCTGTGGATGGGTGGTTGCTTGTGAGGAGGCGTGCCCTGGCAACTTGCTTGGTTGTCTTCTTTGCTGCAGAAGCTGATGGCATTCCAGCCGGCCCCCAAGGTGATTCGCTGCATGACGAACACGCCCGTGGTGGTGCGGGAGGGTGCCACGGTGTACGCCACGGGCACCCATGCCCTGGTGGAGGATGGACAGCTCCTGGAGCAGCTCATGAGCAGCGTGGGCTTCTGCACCGAGGTGGAGGAGGACCTGATCGATGCCGTCACGGGGCTTAGCGGCAGCGGTCCTGCCTACGTGAGGCCCTCACGCTCTCTCGACCTTCCTGGGAGCCTGTGGGAGCAGATGGGCTGGCAGGCAGGCAGGCTAGGGATCACCCACCTCTTGGTGCAGCTGTGCGGTGGAGGCTGACTCCTTGGAGCTAGTTCTGGTCATCAGAAAAAGCAGACCCAGGGGAGTGCCCTCCAGCCCTAGCCTGCTGCATGGGGCTTATGGAGTGTCTCCACAGGCGTTCATGGCCCTGGATGCGTTGGCTGATGGTGGGGTGAAGATGGGCCTCCCGCGGCGCCTGGCTGTCCGACTGGGGGCCCAGGCCTTGCTGGTCAGTATCTTCTCTGCACGTCCAAGGTGTGGAACGGGTTCTGGTGGGTCACTGAGCTGGGGCCAGGGGTTGGTTTGTTGGGGAGCTGGGATCGGGTTGCGGGGAGCAGTGGACTTGGGGGAGCCTGTCTCGCCTAATGCTCCCTTCCTGCCATAGGGAGCTGCCAAGATGCTGCTGGACTCGGAGCAGCACCCAGGCCAGCTCAAGGACAACGTCTGTTCCCCCGGGGGTGCCACCATTCACGCCCTGCACTTCCTGGAGAGCGGGGGCTTCCGGTCCCTGCTCATCAATGCCGTTGAGGCTTCCTGCATCCGAACACGGTGGGTCCAGCTCTCTCTTCTTCCCCACCCCAGTCCTTCTACTCCCTGCCAGGCCCTGGTCTGGGCTTCGTACCATCTTGTAGAACCTGCCACCTTGGGTCCCATTAGCAGTGCTGGGGCCCTTCCTGAGGTTAATGACCGCTACTTACTAGACTTTGTTTAGCTAAGGGTTTGTAAGTATTATTTCATTTAATTCTCTACACAGTTCTGATGGCTAGGATTAGCTTTGATTTATGGTTAAGGGCATTGAGGCTTAGAGACAGACAATTTGCCCAGTGTCAATGGAGGCAGGACCCAACCTCAAGTCTGTGACTCCGAAGCAGGTGATTTTTCCACACTGTCCCTCCGTTATGAACACAGATACCCCTTGGAGCTCTACAACTGGTTTAGATCAAACAAGATAGATGAAACCTTTACGTACGTACTTAAACAGCACTTCTCAGAAGCTTGGGGGAAGCGTTTGGTTTGGGATTCTAACATGTGGTGGTGTCAGGTGGACGAGGGTTGGAGGTTGTGTGGATGGGGAAGCCTCATGAAGCCCTGGCTCCAAGGTTTACCGCCTTCCTCCTTCATTCCCTCGGGCACTTTTTCTGCAGAGAGCTGCAGTCCCTGGCTGACCAAGAAAAGATCTCCCCAGCTGCCCTGAAGAAGACCCTCCTGGACAGAGTGAAGCAGGAATCGTCCACAGTGCCCACGCTGACCCCCTCTGGCCCAGGGAAGCTCCTCACCAGAAGTCCAGCCCTGGGAGGCAAGAAGGACTAAGAGAGCCTCTACCTGCTCTGTGGTCCAGGGCGCTCAGCTGAGGGGGCCTTGACCTTCCTACCCCTAACACACACACACACACCCATTCCCTAGCCATGCACGCCAAGGGCAGCCTCAGGTAGCTTCTGGGTCCTTGTGATAAAACCTCCTTAAACCTGTTCAGATCAATCCAGCCAGAGCAAGCGGCACTCATTATCTCTCCTGTCCCGTGTGGGAAGATGTCCAAAGGGGTGGTGGGTGCTGGAAGCCAGGTGTAACCCTGCCCACCTCCCGTGTTGGCAGAGAGAAGGAGGCTGGACTTCAGCCCTAGCCCCAGCCAGACAGGAAGCTATGGGGAGGACCTTTAACTAGGGGGACACTGGAACCCAAAATGGTCAGTTTCAGTGTCAAATCAAGGAAGTGAGAGATGAAACCATGGTATGGAGTTTTCCCTTTGAATTCATAAAGGAAAAAGAAATAAGCAACTTAGAATTTCACAGTTAATCAGAAATGTACCAGATTAGACTGTGCTTGCATGGAGCCCTGGTGGCGCAGTGGTTAAGAGCTCAGCTGCTGCCCAAAAGGTTGGCAGTTGGAATCCACCAGCCGCTCCTCGAAAACCCTGTGGGGCAGTTCTACTCTGTCCTATAGGGTCACTGTGAGTTGGAATCGACTTGACGACAATGGATTTGGTTTTGGTTTTGTATGTGTCTCTTGCTCCGTAGATGTGCCGTTTAAAAAGTGTTGTTCAGAGCTGCTAAGGTTAGCTGTTTGCATAAAGTTTTATTTTTTAATTTCTTGCTTTTCTACTTTTGTTATGCATAGTACTAAGTCGTCATTCCACAGAACTCAAGGCTGTTAGGTTCTCCCTGCTTCTGTGGGGGGAGCATTGTCGAAGGGCAACAAATGGGGGTGAGAGGGAATAGGGGCCAGGCTGGGATGTAATGACACCCTAGCTCCACCCCTCACCCCATCAGAGTTGGGAGATTGTGTTCTTGGATGGGTCAAGCTGGTGGCAGGGAAGAGCCAAGTGTCCTGGGGAGGGGGACTGGCAGCCCAGACACAGTGAGAAATCGGCCTATTATGTTAGCCCACTGTCTGGCCAGCACTGTGCTATCCTCCCACCTGCCCTGTGAGGGTGTGCCCCGCCTCTCCTCACTTAATAGATGCCAAGGCCTGGAGAGGAGAGGCACTCACCCCTGGTAGGGCCATCGGTGTTCTTAGCCACCAGCTCCCCACCTTCCAGAAGCTGACGCTGGCTGTGCTGTCCATAAAACCAGACTAGGCCTGAGGGCCGGCAGGCCTAACACTTGTCTCCAGAGACGCGCTGCCTATGCCGGGGGTGGGTGGGTTGTTCATTTTTAAATACTATTTCATTGTGTTTTTGGTGAAAGTTTACACAGCAAATTAGGTTCCCATTTGACAATTCCTACACAAGTTGTTGAGTGACACGAGTCACATTTTTCACAGTGTGTTAACGTTCTCCTTAACTGCGTTCTGGTTGTCCGTTTCCAGTGCTCTAGTTTCCCCGCCCCCCTTGCCTTCTCATCTTTGCTTTAGACTAGTTACTGACCTTTTGGTCTCATATAGATTTTTTTTTTTTAATGAAACACTCTGCTCACGAGTAATATCCTTTATGTTGTGTGCCAGTCTGTTATTTCACTAAAAGGTGACCTCAGGATAGTTTTGGTTCAAGGTTTAAAGAGTATCTCTGGCTGATAGTCTCAGGGAGTCCTCTGGTCTCAACTGGTGCAGTAAGTCTGGAGTTTTTAAGAATTTGAGTTCTGTTCTGTGTTTTTCTACCGTTCTGTACGGGTCTGTTTATTGTGGCCCTGACAGGGGGGCTGTTTTTGAAAGGGTGTGGGGATTGGCATGAGTATGAGCTCTGAGTTCAAATCTGAGATTCCACTGCTTTTAGCTAGACAATCTTGGGGGAGTTACTGAATATCTCTGATCTCAAGGTTTTGCCCTTGAGGGTCAAACGCCATCAAAAGGTTCTGGTGGGTATTAACTAATGCCACGTGGAGTGGCCCAACAGAACAACCAGAATGTGGTGAGCCCTCTCATTCCCCGGCGTCAGGGCAGCCCCGGCTCCAACTCCAAACCCCAGAGCCCATGGGGAGGCTCATTCCCACAGGGACAAGATGACAAGTACAGAAGTACAAAGGCTATCATTTTTTAAGCCCCACTGTGTGGCAAAACAACAAAAAACCAAACCCATTGCTGTCAAGTCAATTCTGACTCAGCGACCCTGTAGAATTACCCCATAGGATTTCCAGGAGCGGCTGGCGAATTCAAACTGCCAACCTTTTGGTTAGCAGCTGAGCTCTCAACCACTGCGCCTCCAGGGCTCCACTATGTGGCAGGCCCCTTGCCAACATTACATAGAATCTCATTACAGCCTTAGGAGCTGGGTACAATTATTCTTGCTTTTCAGAAGAGTTAAGTGAGGTTCAAAGAATTTAAATAAATTTCCCATAAAGAATTTGTGTTGTTTTTGCCCAGAAAGATTTTAATAGACATTTCACAATAGATACAAATGGCCAATCAGCAGTTGAAAAGATGCTCAATATCATTACCTATTAGGAAAATGCAAATCAAAAGCAAACGAGTTCATTCATCCATTTGATTACCATATTTTAAGAGCCTAGTGTGAAATAAAAAGTACAGTGAATTCTGAACTGGGTAGCAGGCCCAGAGATACAAGTAGTTGAAGCATCCAAGTTAAAGCTTTAGCCTCTGTGGTTTTTATCCGCATACACCGTATGTGGTTATGGCAAAGGCATTGAAGTCATCTGTCCTGTTGCGGTCTGTCCACTGAGAGGCTAGGAGCCAAACGAGGCTCCTGATAGCCTTCCAGCTCCCCTGCCCAAGTTACATCTACCATCTCTCAGTCCTTAGCATTGTATGACAGCCTCTGCCTCTTCCACTCAGCCGCCTCTAGAGGGCAAGCTAATCCCAATCTAGCCAATATCTGTATTTTATTCATCACACGCACACACCTCACACACAGCCTGCTGCAAACTGAAAAGCCATCACGTCAGATGTCATGGAGACAATCTTGTCGTTCAGGAGAAAAATGAATGAACGTTCTAGCTGATCACTGGAAAGCAATAGAGAGTAAGAGGAGGAGTATTTCCACTGCTGAACGGCGACTGTGAGTGGTACGTTTCTAGACTTGTTTTCATTGTCCCATTTAAAAAAAAAAAAAATTCTGTAATGTGTGGATAATGCCAAACACCACCCATTTAGCCCCCCAGTGTTTGAAGATTAACGAGACAATGCTGGGCAGCATTTCCTATGACTCAGAAGGAACAAGCTCTGCAAATAAATAAATAGTTATGAGCGTGCTTATGCCATGATTTGGCTAAAAGAGTCTCCCTAATTGGCTACATATTAATCCTGCAGGATAAAAAGCAGAACAATGGGGTCTTTCTGGTGTTCTACATATAAATAGGAAAAATCATCATTAATACCTTTCAAATGGCTTTGGTAACAAAGTGTAACAGAAAGTTCTTTCAAAGTTCCATTTGATATTTTAATAAACATACTTTGTCTAAAACAAAAAGAAAAACCAATGAGATACTACATCACATCCCCTGTTGTTAGTTGCCATTGAGTGGATTCCTACTCATGGGGACCCTGTGTCTGCAGAGTAGAACTGCTCCATAGGGTTTTCAAAGCTGTGACCTTTTGGAAGCTGGTCACCAGGCCTGTCTTCTGAGGCGCCTTTTGGTGGGTTTGAACCACCCATCTTTCGGTTAGTAATCCAGCACTTAACCATGGTGCCACCCAGGGACTCCTCACACCTGCTAGGATGAATGTAATCAAAACAGACAATAACAAGCGTTGGTGAGGATGTGAAGCTGGAACTCTCACAGGTGCTGATGGGAATATGAAATGGTGCAGCCACTTCAAGTCGATTCCGACTCACGGCGACCCTATAAGACAGAGTAGTACTGCCCTACAGGGTTTCCAAGGAGCGGCTGGTGGATTCAAACTGCCAACCTTCTGGCTAGCAGCCAAGCTCTTAACCACTACGCCACCAGGGCCGCAAGATTATCATATGACCCTTGAATTCCACACCTAGGTATACAGAGAAATGAAAACATGCCCACACAAAGACTTACGCAGGAATGTTCTGAGCAGTGTTATTCGTAGTCGAAACAAACCAGAAGTTCCTCAGCTGGTGAATGGACGTGCAGAGTGTTCTACATGTGTACCATGGAATATTATTCAGCAATAAAAATCAATAATTCTCTGGTACCTGCTGCAACCTGGATGAACCTCAAAAACATTTATGCTAAGTGAAAGAAACCAAACCCAAAAGACCACGTATTGTCTGGCCCCACTTTCATGAAACGTCCATAAAAAGTAGATCTATAGAGACAGAAACAGTGGCCGCGAAGGGTGGGGGAGGGGGTGCGGAGTGACTGCAAACAGCTCGT